TTTTGGAAATCATCCCTCTGTCATATTTAGGGTTAGTGAAGATCCTTTTGTATTCTGTGGGCTGTTTTGTCTTATTCACGTGTCCTTTGTCTTACAGAAGCTTCGCAGTTTCAGGAGTTCCCATTTATTAATTGTCGATCTCAGTGTCTGTGCTACTGGTGTTATGTTCAGGAAGCTATCTGTTGTACCAATGTGTTCAAGGGTACATCCCACTTTCTCTTCTAAGAGGTTCAGAGTAACTGGATTTATGTTGAGGTCTTTGATCCATTTTGACTTAAGTTTTGTACATGGTGATACATATGGATCTATCTGCAGTCTTCTACATGCCAGCATCCAGTTGTGCCAGCTGGATTGTTGAAGATGCTTTCTTTTTTCTGTTGTATAATTTTAGCTTCTTTGTCAAAAATCAGATAATCGTTCGTAAGTGTGTGGGTTAACATCTCGATCTTCAATTCGATTCCATTGGTCTACCTGTCTATTTTCATGCCAATACCAAGCTGTTTTCAGGACTATAGCTCTATAATAGAGCTTGAAGTCAGGGATAGTGATGCTTCCAATGTTCCTTTATTGTACAGAGTTGTTTTGAATACCCTGGGTGTTTTGTTTTTCCATATAAAGCTGACAATTGTTCTTTCAAGGTCTGTGAAGAATTGTGCTGGGATTTTAATGGGAATTGCATTGAATCTGTAGATTGCTTTTGGTAAGATTGTCATTTTTTACTGTGTTGATCCTACCTATCCAAGAGTATAATAGATCTTTCCATTTTCTGGTATCTTTTTAAATTTCTTTCACAGGTTTTTCACTTGTTTGGTATGTGTTACCCCAAGATATTTTACATTGTTTGTGGCTATTGTAAAGGTTGATGTTTCTCTGATTTCTTTCTCAGCCCATTTATCATCTGTATATAGTAAGGCTACTATTTTTTTTTTTTGGAGTTAATCTTGTATCCTGCCACTTTGCTGAGGATGTTTATAAGCTATAGGAGTTCCCTGGTACAGTTGTTCAGGTCCCTTATATAAACTATTATGCCATCTGAAAATCGTGAAAGTTTGACTTCTTCCTTTCCAATTTCTATGCCCTTAATCTCCGTTTGTTGTCTTATTGCTCTAGCTAGAACTTCAAGGACAATATTGAAGAGGTATGGAGAGAGTGGACAGCCTTGTCTTGTTCTGATTTTAGAGGAATTGAATTGAGTTTCTCTCCATTTAGTTTGATGTTAGCTGTTGGTTTACCGTATATTGCTTTTATTATGTTTAAGTGTGTTGCTGTTATCCCTGATCTCTCTAGGACCTTTATTATGAAAGGGTGTTGGATTTTGCCAAAGGCTTTTTAAGCATCTAGTGAGCTGACCATGTGGTTTTTCTTTTTCAGTTTGTTTATATGGTGGATTACATTGATAGATTTTCGAATGTTGAACCATCCTTGTGATGAAGCCTACTTGATCATGGGGGATGATTTATCTGATGTGTTCTTGAATTAGATTTGCCAGTACTTTATTTAGTATTTTTGCATCAATATTCATGAGGGATATTGGTCTGTTGTTCTCTTTCTTAGTTGTGGCTTGGGAACCAAGGTAATTGTACTCCTGTAAAAAGAGTTTGGCAAAGATCCTTCTGAATTTCCTTGAATTTCTGGTAGAATTGTGCACTGAAACCATCTGGGCCTGGGATTTTTTAGTTGGGAGATTTTGATGACTGCTTCTATTTCACTACGGGCTATAGGTCTGTTTAAATTGATTATCTGTTCTTGATTTAATTTTGGTAAATGATATCTATCCAGAAAATTGTCCATTTCTTTTAGATTTTTGAATTTTAAAAAATTTTCAGCTTCTTATATTTAAATTAGAAACAAGATTGTTTTACATGTCAATCACAGTTCCCTCTCCCTCCACTCCTCCCCTGCCCCCCACTAACACCTTACCTATCCCATATCATTTATGCTCCCCAGGGACTATGAGGCCTTCCATTGGGGGGGGGACTTTAGAATCTGTCATATCATTTGCAATAGGGCCTAGGCCCTCCCTCATGTGTCTAGGCTGACTGAGTATCCCTCTATGTGAAATGGGATCCCAAATTCCATTCCTATGCTAGGGATAAGTACTGATCTACTACAAGAGGCCCCATAGATTTCCCAGGACTCCTCACTGACACACACATTCATGGGGTCTGGATCAGTTCCATGCTGGTTTTCCAGTGATCAGTCTGGGGACCAAGAGCACCCTCTTCTTCAGGTCAGCTGTTTCTGTGGGTTTCACCAGCCTGGTTTTGACCACTTTGCTCATCACTCCTCCTTCTCTTAAACTGGATTCCAGTTCAGTTCAATGTATAGCTGTGAGTGTCTGCTTCTATTTCCACCAGCTGTTGGATGAATCAATCTCATTATCAGGGGAGGGCATTTAAGGTAGCCTCTCCACTGTTACTTAGATGGTTGTTGGTGTTATCCTTGTAGATCTCTGAACATTTCCCTAATGCCTGATTTCTCTTTAAACCTATAATGGCTCTCTCTATTATGGTATCTCTTATTTTGCTCTCCTCTATGCTTCACCCTGCACAACCTTCTGGCTACCTTATGTCCTCCTCACCCCTCCTCTTCTCCCCTTCTCATTCTTCTAGCTCCCTCTCCCCTCCCCCCATGCTCCTAGTCTGCTCAGTCCCTTTCCCCTTTTCTTTTAGACTCCTTGTTTCCTAGCTTCTCTGGTGGGGTGGATTGTAGGCTGTTAATCCTTTGCTCTATGTGTAAAATCCATATATGCACGAGTAAATACCATGTTTGTCTTTTTCTGAATAGGTTACCTTGCTCAGAATGGTATCGTCTAGTTCCACCCATTTGCCTGCGAATTTCAAGATTCCATTGTTTTTTTTTTTCTCTGAATAGTACACCATTGTGTAAATGTACCACATTTTCTGTATCCATTCTTCAGTTGAAGGGCATCTAGGTTGCTTCTGGGTTCTGGCTATTACATATAATGCTGCTATGAACATAGTTGAACAGATGTCCTTATTGTATGAATGTGCTTCTTTTGGGTTATATGCCTTACAGTGGAATTGCTGGATCTTGTGGTAGACTGATTCCCACTTTCCTGAGGAATTACCATACTTATTTCCAAAGTGGCTGTACAAGTTGGCACTCCCACCAGCAGTGAAGGAGTGTTCCCCTTTCTCCACATCCTCTCCAGCATAAGTTATCATTGGTGTTTTTTATTTTAGCCATTCTGAAGGGAGTAAAAAGGTATCTCAGAGATGTTTTGAGTTGCATTTCCCTGATGGCTAAGGATGTTGAGCACTTTCTTATTTGCCTTTCAGCCATTTTAGATTCCTGTATTGAGAGTTCTCAATTTAGTTCTGTACCCCACTTTTTAATTGGATTATTTGGTGTTTTCAAAACCAGCTTCTTGAGTTCCTTGTAAATTTTGGAGATCAGCCCTCTGTCAGAAATGGGGTTGGTGAATATCTTTTCCCATTTTGTGGGCTGCCATTTTGTCTTGCTGACTGTGTCCTTTGCCTTACAGAAGCTTCTCAGTTTCCGGAGGTCCTGTTTATTAATTTTCAGTCTCAGTGTCTGTGCTATAGGTGTAATGTCCAGGAAGCTGTCTCCTGTACCGATTCATTGAAGAGTACTTCCCAGTTTCTTTTCCAAGAGGCTCAGTGTCTTTGAAGAATTATTCTGGTATTTTGATGGGTTATGCATTGAATCTGTAGATTGCTTTTGGCAAGATTGCCATTTTTAGGGTCTCTATCATCTTCATGAAGTTGTTTTTAAGGTCATTTTCTTCTGCTTCATCTGTGTTGGGATATTCAGGTCTTGGCTGTGTAGAGTCCCTAGACTCCGGTGGTATCATATTGGTTTTTCTGTTGTTGAATGTGTTCTTATATTGTCATCTTCCTATGCCTTCTTTCAGTTGGTGCAGGTGGCGTCTCTTCTTCTCTTGGTGTGTATGGGCCGAAGTTCGCTTCCAGTGGGTGCAAGCAAGTCCAATACCCCGATGGGTCTTATGGTGGGTGCAAGAGAGTCTGAGACACTCCCTCTCCGTGTGAGTGGAGGTGGGACTAGCACTGTGATGTCCCCAGACTCTGAGTGGCTTGATCCACCTTGGGAGAGTAGACCTGTGGCAGTACCCAGTCCAGGAGATCCCAAAGAGCGATTTATCGGACTCTCCAATACACTATTTATATTTTTTCTCCATAACTTTGCCTAAGGATAACATGCCTCTTAACTTTCTTTTAGTCATTTAGTTATTATGAATAAGGGGGGAAATGTTATCAAACCCTAAGAGTATACACAAATGGTCTTCAGTTTTCAAATTTTGTGACCTATGTCTTGTTTCTTCCAGACAAACGCAGAGAGGACGCAGTGTGTACTCAGTTCATTGTGACCTTAGCCAAGAGGTCTGATTTGCAGGCTGCACTGGGATGCTCTAGTCCTGCCTGCTGCTTTCTATAAATGTTCTAGGTATTTGATCTTCTCCAGGAGATACCTGTTCATCGAAGCATACTGACCTAAAGCTAGCCATGCCCCATTTTTGGGGATAACATTGATTTCTGAAGCAGACGATTAAGAAATAAAATTACCCGTTTCCACTTTCAGTGGATGAATGGGATGGCAATCATTTTTATTCACACAATATCGTGTGTCTGCATTTTTCTGCTTGCTTATCTAGGGGCTTCAGCAATGATGTCAAAATAGTATAGAACAATTACATAGTGTTTGCAGCATGGGAACATGATCGTTTGTAAGAAAATTTTCCTTCTCTGGGCTTTCAAATGTCAAGATTAAAGATAAGAAAGATTACGAAAATTAAGCAAGTATTAGGAATATTCTTGTGTTTTGCTATATCTGAGTCTGGAAAGCCCTTTGTGAATGACAGTTCTGAAACACAGACACACAGAAACTCTTTACCATCTACATAAAATCCCTGTAGCTTCATAGCTAAAACCACAGTCCCAGTATTTAAAAATTCTTGATTTGTCTTCCTTTGTGAAAATTACATTTTACAAAATTACCTGAATTGGTCTTGTTGTAACATGAAAAATACCCATGGGGTAAAGGTGAAGGGTGAGTCCAGGTAACTAAAGTTGTGTTCTCAGTAGCATTCCCACAGAAAAGGTTCTTGGGCTTCTCTGGGGCTGTTTAAAAGAAAGAAAAAGAAAAAAAGTTACAATGGAAAAAATAAGACACTGAAAAAATAGTATTTACATAGCAAGCTGGAATCAATAACAGCTATCTTTTGACTGATTGCGAGTTGATAAAATTTCAATGAAGTTTTTAGACTTATGCTGTTTCCTTTAGATCAGATTTCTTTAGTAGAGTATATTCTGCTCCAATACATCAGTAGGAAACTTACATCCCACTGATTTGAAGAATACCTTAGAATATTCTCTTCTCACAGACACTGCTATTCAGATATTTTGAGATGTTGCTGTGTGAAACATTTAATAAAATTAATGAGACACAATTTATGTTCACTAACATTGCTTGAGGTATATAACTTGATGAGTTACAAGTTTACCCAACTATGTACTACCATCACAATATTGAACATTTCTGTTGTTCTTCTATGTCACTTGATAGTCAAAATGAGTCCCCTTGAAACACCACATAGTGTCTGGTCTACTTCACAATGCTGTAAATTCAATTAACTTTGTATTCATTATACATAAACAGAATTAAACAGTGACATTTTGCACAAATTATATTGGTTTTTATATAGCCCTTGAATTTTTTACGCATCATAACTATGTCTTTTTAGTCTTCAGGAAGGCTTTGGTTTGGATGTTGACTGCTACAACATGTCTTGGTGGGCTGTTGGAGAGGTAAGGTGAGTTCACCATCTTTGGGTCATTGAAAGCACACTCTCAATTGGAATCAAGGGTCCACATTCTTCTCTTTTCTTTTATTCATGACACACTGAGATCAGTAGTCCCCTTCAAGATACATCCCTACCTTGGTTAGCTGGTGTCCCTTCCAGAGATCCAGTGGCAGGGACATCCATCCTTAGGCTGAAATTTCCAAACTGATGGTCTAAATGAATATTTTATCTTTACATGCTAACTGTCTCATTAGAGCAAAAGTGTTTGTCATTAGCTTCTGCCATGTTTTCTCTATTATTAAACACTTGGTGGCTTTTTGAGCTCTTTCCAAGAGTGGATGCATATGCACGAATCCGCTTTCCCTTACAGGTATAGTCTTTCTTCTTATGTTGGGTGACTTGCTACAGTCTCACCAATATTGTCAACCTTTTGTTTATATAATCTCCATCTTGTTTTTGACTTTCATTTCCCAGATGGTTAATGAGGCTGTGCAGTTTTCCATGAGTTCAGTCACTATTTGTATATCTTTTGTGAAATGCACAGTCAAAATGCTTTCTTATATTTCAATTGGAACACTCGGTATCTTATTTTATAACTGAAAGCTCTTTCTATATATTTTGGGAAATTGTCAATGTCAAGTACAAAGAAATCATGGATACTTCCCCACAGTACACAATTTCAAAGAAAAGTATTCAACTATGAAGTCAAATTTATAGATCATTTATGATTCTTCCTATTTTTCTTAATAAAACTTGCCTATTCTGAAAATACAAAGAGTATCCCATATGCTTTTGATTAGGTGCTTTATAACTTTAGCTTTTAGAGCAATGAGACATTGTGTGTGTTGAGACCCAATGACTGATGGCCCTTTGATAGCCTTTTTCTATAGGGATGCTAAAACAACTGAAATGACTTATATTTTATCAAGTATAAACAAAGTTCTTTTTAAAGATTCCCCATTATGGAACACTGATTTTAAAAGGTTGCACTAATCTTAGTTTATTTATTTGTTTGTCTGTGTCCGTGTCCGAGTGTGTGTGGGGGGGTGCAGGTGAAGGTAAGAAAACAATCTGCAGAAATTTGTTATTGCTTTCCTTCTGTCATGTGCATCCTGTGAACAAAGTCAGGTTTTCAAGCTTGGCAGCAAGTAGTTTTATCAACTGAACAATTTCCCTGGCCACATGATATTAAACTTGTCTGGTTACCCTGCAGCTTTAGTTGCTCTTGGTATAGTTAATGTTAATTTGGAATAGGAGTGAACTTGGATTTGGGCATCCCCCTTTGTCCTCGGCTAGGAAACAAATTAGAGTCATGCTAGTACAAGACCAGAAAATCATAATGTAATTTGTAGGGTTGGTTGTTGTTGTTGTTGTTGTTCTGGTCTTCACACACTATGTAGGTCTCACTAAGTTACCCAGGCCAGCCTTCAACTTGTGGTTACCCTACCTCAACCTGGCAAGCAGCTGAGCTGGTGTATCTACCATCATCCCTAGCCTTTAGTTTCTGTTTCTCCCTCCCTCCATCCCTCCCTCCTGCTTTTCTCCCTTTCCTACTGCTTCTCTTCTCCTTCCCCTCCACTGACATATAAAAATCTTTATTCTGGAAATGTCTTTGCTGTTTGTGAGCAATGACACCTTTTGTCTTCTTCGTAGTTGATTATTCATTAATCACCATTTTCAAAATGAACATTTACCAGCCAGTTTTAAATTTAATTGGAAAGTTTTACCTCTGTCTTCCCAAATGCTGTGAATTTTTGAAACCCCTTTCTGTGTATTAAGCTTTTTCTTGTTATTAACTCTATGGCCAGAAAAACTGATAGCTACTTCTCCAGTTTTATATTCATCACTTAAATTTGCCTGAGTTATACTGGTAGATTTGCTTACTTTACTTTTCAGTCAGAAGCAGGACATGATTAGAGGGAGAGGTGTAAGAACACAGAGTGAAGGATGTTATAAAGGGGAGGGAAGAGGAAATGAAAAAATGGGAATTATAGAGGTAAACCATTTCAACTTTTCCAGCAGTCTCAAAACATACCAATTTGGACAACAGAAAAAGAACAACTTTAGGTTTGTATAATTTATTCTTAAATTCACCTTAAAATTCATTTATTTTTTCTTCTGATATGCTTTCTGTGGCTCTATAACATTGTTTTCTGTGATTCCCCAAATAATGTAAGCCCATAGAAGAAACAGAAATTTTATACATCTTAGAAATGTAAGTAATATACTCACTCCCCAAATCAGTCGTCACAGATACATTTTTTATGAAAAATGCGATGTTATTATAGAGGATTTCTCCAGAACATTTGTAAGCCATTTGGGGTTTGAGATCGGTCAGCTTAATTTCATTAGAATTTGTTTGAGTACCTGAAAGAAATAAGTATTGCACGTGAGTCTATGAAATGATGCATAGTGTGTGGACTTCTTGTCTGATGCCATGTGTTTCAGACTTAATGTTGGAGTGAAACCTCAGAAAATGGTGGAATAATAACCCCAAGATACTGCAAATAGCCCTGCTACACTTAACTTTGTTGAGAAACCATGATCACGCCTCATTTAGCCTTTACTTCAGCAGATTTTTTTTTTTTACATTTTTAAAAATTCACAGCTCGTTATGTATTTGTTCCAGCTTTGGACACACTGCTTGCAGCATAGCGCAGCATCTTCCCTTCGGCATGAAGATGACAATCAGGGTCATAATTTCCTCTCCTGCCTCTGTGTGCGTGCACAGAGGTGCATGCACATCTCTTTGTCTTGCCAAGTGTGTCCTGGCAAGTGGCTTGATGCCAAGAGGGAAAAGAGTCCATTTCATTGAATTCAAATATATTTTTAAAAGAAATGCTACTTCAGTAGAAACCCAAGTTCATTCCTAGAAACTCTTGTTCCCCTTGCTACCTGCATATTCTTGAACTTGCAAATGATTTTCGTTGACCAAGGTCTGAGAAAGTAACCTCTGGATCTATATATCAGTTTCCTATCTACAGAATATGGATACCATCATTCTTTCATAATTTTCTCATCTCTTCATCCTTTCAATGATGTATGGTATATAACAGTAATCAAGAAAATTCTTTCAATTAATTTTGATTTTTTCGATAGTTTTACCCTCTGTGGTTTTTTGTTTTGTTTTGTATTCATTTTCTATTTTGTGAATGTGTTTCAGTAGCAGATACTGGAATTATTATATTCTAATTTACCACAGACCACTGAGGGTCAGGGGAGGAGGGCAAGTGTCTAGAAAGAACCATTAAGCCATATTTGGAATAACTTCTGATGATAGAATTTATCTACTCAGTATCTTACCTTCATCACAGTAAAATCTGTATGAAATTTTTTTATTATCACAGTCAGGTCTGTGGGTAAAATTCCACCGCAAACAAAGTGTAGTATTAGCTTGTATTAGTTCTGTGCAGTTATCCAGGTAAAAATTCTCAGGCCCTGTAAAGAAAACATTGGAATGCCCTTCAGTTACAGTTCCTGGTGTGAAGGTGTGTCACTTCTCAACTAAAGACTGAAATCACAGCCATGAAGCCCAGGTTTGAAAGAATGAGGTTACATTGAAAGAAGTCTACTAACTTGCAGGGGTTTGTGCTTCTTGGTGATTTAGTTCACAATCTTAAGTTTTATTTTTTCTTTGTTTCAGTTGACACATAATTCTACAAATTTGTATGCAATAGGATGTTTAGATATATCTATATAATATGTAGTCACCAATTACAGACAGTCACCTACCACCTCAGACATTCATCATTCATTAGGGAAGACAACATATTATTTCCATACCACATATTTTAATACAAATGTGTGTTTCTTTTCAATAGAATCCATACCACTTTTACAAATAAAACTCAAGGAAGCGATTACTACAATAGCTTATTTTTTCCATTTGGAAAAAAATTCTTTGGAGTTTTGATGCTTGTGTGTTGATCTGTTTTGGGTTTTGGAGACAGAGTCTCATGTTGCTTTGTAGCTCAGGCTAGCTTGGAACTCACTATGTAGAGTAGGCTGTCTTTGAACACATAGAAATACTCTTCACTTGGCCTTCCACATGCTGAGATTACAACTTTGGTATTAACATAACTAGAACTCTCCCCTAGTTTCTTCAAAGACATTAGATGTTTAAGTTTGTCCTTTTCCCTAATACACGTAAGAAACTTCTGGGGGAAGAAAAAAAAGGACAAAAAAAGAGAATATTTTGAATTTACAAAGAAAAACCAGAAATCTTATGTATAATTACTTCACAAAATTACCTGTTTTTAATTCATGGGACCCTCTTTTTTATTGCTGTTTTGTTTTCTGTTTTTTGTTTAAAGACAGGGTTTCTCTGTGTAGCTCTGGTTGTCCTGGAACTTGCTCTGTAAATGAGGCTGGCCTTGAACTCAGATTTGCCTGCCTCTGCCTCCCAAGTGCTGGGATTAAAGGTGTGTACTACCACTGCCCAGCTAGGAACCTTTCTGTTCTTAGACAGAAAGACAGGCAGATAACAGCCCTAAAGAGTAAGTGTGTATTTCTTCATGCTTTCCATGGGTTTCAGCAGGGAACTCAATCTTAGCAATGTTGCCTTGCTTTCTCTTGGTTCTTTTCTCTAACCACATTAGCCCCCAGGGGCACCATAACACACACATGAAAATCACACTATTGTTCTAAAGACACAGAAAGAAAGAAACTGGCATTCACCTGGTGGTACATCTAATTCTATAATTTTATGTGGAATACATGAGCCATTAGACACAGTGAAATTGCTCTGTGAGCATTCTTGTAGATTTTTAAGCTTTTCACAATCCGCAGCTTCACATTGAGGGTTTTTGTCACCTTTTAGCTTTGCCTCAAAAGACTTCTTATTACTGTTATAGTCGTAATACACAATAATGTTCCCAAATTTTTCATCTGGAGAAAAAAAGAAAATTAGTATTATCAATATTCAGAATGAGTAGCCTGAATTGGATAAGAATGTCTTAACATATTTTTTTACAGAGAATGATTTACAAAAGAGTCAATTTATTAACTATGCAGCAAATAGAAGTAAAAGAACAATTAGCAAATGGTGTATAAAAGCAGCAAATAAGACATCAATGTATTACAAAATCATATCATTAATTATGATACAATGTCCCCAGGAATATGTAAAATACAAGAGATGTATTATGGACCCATATGTCATTATTTTATAATTTCCCCTTCCATTGAAGGATCCCAATTTATGCTCAGATGATTATTGGATTGACATCCATGTTGCCTACTAAACTGTAAAGTCCATGAGAGCCAAAACTAGTCCATTTTGACCATCATCATCAGGTCAGGTCTATGATAATATATATCTGTCTGTTTATTGGCAAGCATTCAACAATTACTTATTGAGTTAACTCACAAATGAGTTTATCTGGTGGTGAACTCATATGAAAAAAATCCTTCTTGCTTTATAACTACCCTTGATTTTTAATGTATTTATAAATCATTTAGTTCTCCCATCATGAATTATTCAGAGATATTACATTTTCATTCATTGCATTATATATATAATGTTATTATGCATGATAATAAACCCTTCATAAATCCTTTTGGTTAGTGTCAACAATTTCTATTAACTCGTAAAAATTTCTTTTAAAGAAGTGTTAAGTTGAGCTGGAGAGATAGCTCAGAGGTTAAGAGCACTGGCTGCTCTTCTAGAGGTCCTGAGTTCAATTCCAAGCAACTACATGGTGGCTCACAACCATCTATAATGAGATCTGCTGCCCTCTTCTGGCCTGCAGGCCTACATGTAGGCAGACCACTGTATACATGATAAATAAATAAAACTTTAAAAGAAAAAGAAGTGTTAAGTTGCATACCCATTTTTAAATGTTTTCTCTGTGTGTATGTGTTTGTGTGTGTGTGTGTACATATATATGCATTCATCTGTGCATGTATGTGATGGAGTGCACATACACATGTGTGCGTGAATATGGAGACCAGAGATTGACATCAGGCATCTTCCTCTATTTCTCTTGATCAAATTTTATGAGACAGGGTCTTTATCTGATTATCAATAGTATCAGGCCAGCAGCCCCAAGGATCCTTTTACCTTCACCAGAGCAGTAGGATGACAGAACCTGCTACCAAGCTCACCTTTTTACATGGGTATGGGGGATCACAAGTCATGTCCCCACGGTTGTGTGGCAAGCACTTTACCCTAATCTTCACCTGCCCTATTTACTTGTTCTTATATGTCCTTTGTCTTAAATACTAGGAGTACAAGGACAAATCAGATGAATTTGGCTTTTAGAATGGGGAAGTATTAAATTGGGATGGACACATTTGTGAATTACAAGAGCTAAACAAAGACATAAAAATAAGATTATACAGAAAATAATTCAAGAGAAGAGAGAGAGAGAGAGAGAGAGAGAGAGAGAGAGAGAGAGAGACCTGTTCAGATTGGTGGGCAGGAAGAACTCCAGATGATTTAGACTGATTTCTGATTTTTGAAGTATGAGCAACGTGTCAGGAAACAAATGCAGTCACCAAAAACAAAAGACAATATGGAAGGATTCCAAGTGCAGAAGAAGAAAATTAGGAGATACACAGTCAGGAATAAATACCAGCAGCTCCATCTGACTCAAGGCAAGAATGTGAGTGAGGAGGTGGTGACAGAGAACAAGGGGAAGGGAACATGAACTTGAGACATCATGTTAAGGAAATAAACCAATGGAGATTGACCTTGACTCTGGGTGAATGGGAACCTGACTGCAGTGCTGAGATTCAAAAGAATATGGAAGGGTAACACTGGTTATAAGGAAGGACTTGGCTTCCACCACAAGGGGAGGAAGACAATGAAACATAGTGAGTCTTATGGCATAGAGTTGGCCATGAGAAATGGAACAGTGTATGACTTTTGAAAGCTTGTAAGAAAGAAAGAAATGATTGAAATGCTGTTCCCAAGTGACAGAGGCTGCCTTTGGGTCAGCAAACTTACCACATGATGGCCGGGGTTGAGTGGTAGCTGTAATAGAGATTTAAAAAGAAAGGCAAATCATTGACATGTTATTTTAGAATGTGTCTGCTGTGTTCATCTTAGAGAATCTGCCTCCTAGACTTTCCAGTTTATGGAAAGTCTACCTGCTTAGGCTTAACATATAATGCGGTTTGCTTAATGTCTTATTCTCACTTCAAACATGCAAATGTTATAAACTGTGATAACTACAAATTATCTTAAGATATGCAATAAATACAACAGTGACTGTTGCAATATGTAGACTTTTGGGTAGAGATCTGATGTCAGCATTGTGACAGGACCAAGCCTAAAAAATTCTAGAATTACTTTAAAAGTCTTCATTCACTTTGTTGGCCTCAAACTACATTTCCTTAATTATAACTCCTATGAAGTGATGCTATGGGTTTTTTGTTTTTGTTTGTAAATCAGATGATATTCATAGATAAAGACTGCTTTACTCCCAAGTTTAACCACTATATGCTCCCCCCACACAAGATCCAGGGTAGTTGACTGACCTCACAGCAATTACCTTGTACTAATATATGTATTTAACTCAGTGGTTCTCAATCTTCATAATGCTGTGACCCTTTATGACCCTACTCATATTGTAGTAACCTCCAACCATAAAATTGTGTTCATTGCTACCTCATAACTGTTAATTTCCCCACTGTTATGAATTGTAATGTAAATATCTGATATTTCTGATGGTCTTAAGTGGCTCCTGTGAAAGGGTCATTTAACCCCTAGAATGAGAACCACTGATTTAACTGAAAAGGTGGAAGTCTGAGTCCATGGAAGCAAAAGGATTTCTGCTAATCTCCTCAAAGTTGGAAGAATCTAGGGAGAATGGTGGGCTTGCCAGCGTTGGCTTCCTGACCCTAGAAATGGCATTGCCACAGATCTTCCAGTAGGTGGCTCACCTTCATCTTCATGACCCTCTGTATCTGACTGAAACTGGCATCACTCTCCTACCTCTCCTCAATGGAAAAGGTAGTGGCTTTGATAAAATTACTCATCATACATCTGCTACATCTGCTCTTCAAAGAAATATGTTCTAACAGATTTGGCTATTGCTTATACAGGTTTTCAACTCTTGGTAGACATGAGAGTGATGCTATATCCTAGTGGTCTCAGCTACAACTGTGCTGCAGCAATGTCAAGAGTCTGCTCCTTGACCATTAGGATTAGAACTTGAGATTCCACAAAGAAGATAGCCTGAAGTAGAGAAAGCCAGAAAGTCTGTGAGGGCATGCCCAGAAGTGGCGGAGTTGTGCCTGCACAACTGGGGGTAAGGTTGTCACCTATTGCTGTGATTGTAGGGCTAGTGCTTTTAGGGTCCAGACTGGTTGGTGAAGTGGATGTAAGGTTGACACCTGTAAGGAAACAAACGAAAGGATGAAAGTTAATGAACTTATTATTTTGAAGCTAATTTGCTAAGTGATTCTTTCCTCGTTTGAACTGATACTTTCCAAAGTAACAAAGTGAGCCAAAGATTTATGTACAAATGGGTTCAGATAACACACATTTTTAAGTAATTGTAAATATAGTATCGCAATTTGGAAGGGTAAGTTATTTACTCCTTAGTATAATTCTTACCTGAAAAATAATTTCCCTCAAACTAGCATTTTCTGTTGAGCTGTAGAGCTGTAAAGCTCTCCTTCTTTAGATACTAATTAGACCAATGGTTGCTTTTCATATATTCATTATATTAAACCTGCTGTATGTATAATCTTCAAATCAATTTTATGAAATGAGTTTATGAAAAGAAACTGAGTTACTTGTCCTAGATTATCTAGAAAATTGAGGCAGTTGGATTTGGTCCCAGAGCTACAGGCCATTCATTAATATATATTATCCACTTTTGTCATGAACTTTGCAATAACAGTAAAACTGAATTTATCCCCAAAATCTTCCTCATAAGTTTCTTTTGCCTAATTGCTTATCATGATGATAAAAAAGATGGGAAATCTGAAAATAGTATCTGGAATAAAATAAGATCTATATTCAAATTTAGAGCCTCCACAGCCTAAACCATATGCCACATAATGGTCACACCTGAGGAGGGATGTGTGGTGCTGATGTTGGAGCTGTGTGTAGGTGAGGCAGCAGTGCTGTTGCGTGCAAGGTAGAGGGCATCTGTAGGAAGGGCTGTGTCTGCAGGAAATGTCCCCATTGTAGTCATCTCCCCTGGTGCACCTGTAATTAGAAAGGTCACCAACACTGTCACTCCATCATGCCTCATGCTGACATGGATTATGGAACGAAGGCAGAGCAATGAGCTATCTATTACCCTAAACCATCCCAGAGTCCTAATTCCATAGACGGTGCTTTCAATATAAAAGCCTGCAGAAAGATGAATTCAGAAGCTTACATGGAGAAACCTATACACCTCAAGGACCAGTTGACAGGAAAAAAAACACAACAAACAAACAAACAAGCAAAAATGATAGTTGGAGCCTTGGGAAAGAACTTGGATAGCCAAAGGAGGTCCAATCTCCCAGGCAAGTGCTGCTCTAGGTGGTATAAAAAGTGTTTCAAAGAGAAGGGAAGGAGAAATCTTGGAGAACCATAGAGAGTAAGCACAAGCCTGAATATACAGGGTTGCCTCCTTAAGGTTGCCCAGGTGGAAGTGTGACCTGGAACTTGATTAGAGTCTCAGGTGGCAGCACCACTCTGCAGAGGGAAGCCCTGTGTACAGGTGCTAAGTGTCAATTTTCCAGAAATTGAGATAAATGATCTCCTGCCTGAGCAGCATCTGAGCCCCAGACTTTCCCTCCTTATTGGTTGCTGGTCACAATACGACATTTACTAAGAGGGCTCCCATGCCAAGAAGACATCAACCTGGTTTTATATCAACACACTGCCCATTATGCTGACATAATCTCCTGATTTCCCTATTGTAGGCAGTGTCGAGTGATGTAGCTAAAAGACCTGCATGTTCTGCTTAGAATTTCACTGTTAGGCTTCAGAGGATTTCATGCCTGTTACATGCTTCCCCCATACATCACAGCCGGAACTCAGGAACAGGCAATTACCCATTATATGACTAACACTAGCTGCCACGGAGAAAACAAAAGAAATATGAGCTAGCTCCTATTGTGGATCTCGTTTGGTGATTTCACAGTCAAGATCCCCAGGTCCAGTGATGTGAACTTAGCCTCACATGTGAGGTCGGCATTGGTGTGTTTCCATGAATGGTGCTCTGTTTCATCACTGGCCCATGGCTGCTATTTAAACCGCCTTGCTGAGAATATGCCAAACATCTCCAAGCTGCAGATGGATTGAATCCATACATTATCACACACATGGCTTGAGAAGTGGAAGAGAACTTTCTTGCCAGTTTAGTTGGTTCTTGGCCCACTCTTCAAAAGCCACTAAACTCCCAGCTGTAAGTAAACCATGGAGCAGAATGAATACAGGGAGCATCCATTCACTAGTTCTAGAAACAATGGAAAGATCCACAATAATAGAAGAGTAGGAAGGGTTATGCATTCATGCAGCCTTTTAAATTTTCAGTAAGACAAACTGGCCACCTGTGAAATCTCAAAAGCAACCGGCTCTGCCTACTAGCCTTCCACCATTCTTAAAGGGAGGTGGCTGTCAGTACAGTGCTCTTCATATTTGTGCATGTCTAAAGAGCATGCAAACCTGGTGAGTCAGGCCTGTCAGGAGCAGGCATGAGTGTGGTGAGGTCAGCCTGGTTGCTGAGTGTCTGGGTGTCAGCTCCTTGGGCAGAAGGCGTCTGCAGGTCTGGCTGCGGGGAAAGGTGAGGCAGCAGCGTGGATGAAAAACCTGAGATTAGAAAGTGAGATGGTTAAGTCTATCTCTGCTGCCCCTGGCAATTCACACTCTAAGACAAGTACATGGAGCAAAGTTGCCACAGGACAATGTGATCCGATTTATTGAGATCTTGAAGTTTCTGGGTCAGGGAGGCTGCTCCTGAGTTCATGTTTACAGATGCCTCCCCAAGAAGACGCACCTGTCTAACTTAGTCATTAACTTTCCAATCCCTGAAAATTTATTGGATTCACCAACAACTCTACAGACTGAGGCTGGGGGCGGGGGGGGGGGGGCGAAAGTATAAATTCTAAAACATACTAAAGTGTTGCTTACAGAATCACAAAGGAGGAACAGGAGAATGCACAAATACCTATGACAGCCAAAATATACATGAAAAGATGCTTATCACTGTGAAATTTTGAAGAAACGTAAAATCAATAGGAAGCGCTTTCAATTGCCCTCCTGGCAGTTTTAACAGATTGACAACATCCAGCGTTGGAAAACTTATGGAAATAGTCATGCATGCATGCTTACACACATGATCACACAGAACCAAATGCCAAGAACATAGAGTATTTAAAATAATGGTCAAAATGGGGGGAATGGCACAAGCCACCCTGGCAAAACAAGTCCCACTCCCTCTGCTATTTCCTATAAAGACAACTGCATTACCTTAAATCTTACTACTAGATGTCACAATTCTGTTTTTGTTTTCTTTTTAATTGAAATACTGCAAACATCACTGGAAAAAAACTATACATCACAAAACAGTCCTCGATTCTGAACAGACTTAAAAATAGTTGCCTATCATCAGTATTTCTAATAGTGTGAGCCGAGAATGGAACTAAGAAATGGGAGTATCCCACTTCGGGGCAGCTGCAAGGAAGTTCAGAAGTGGCAAAAGTCTGTCTGCAAAGGAGAATTGTGACCTGCCCAATGCAGCAGGAGGCTATGAGCAGTCCCTGGGCAGCTGTGGAGATACAAAGACAATAGAGAGCCTTCCCTGGTTTTACTCACAGGATCTCCCCTCGCCCCTTTCTATCTAAAGCATCATGTCATCATCGTTTCCACTCCGAAAACTTAACAGACACCTACTATCACCTGCACTTTACTTACCTGAAGAAAAGCAGATGCTTAGAGACTGCATGTATAACTTAAATTTTAAAAATTTAATCACTCTAGAAAGTTTTTAAAGGGCAAATTTACCACCAGTATCATTTTGTTTAGGAATGTCTGTGTGGCATCGGAAGAATACCAACATTATCCAAGTTTCTGGGGAGACCTGGGATGAATGATCACCTGAAAGATAGGTGTTCTCTGAGGAGTCAGTTTCTCTTTCAGAGATGCTTGCGGGTGTGAATTCAGTGGTGTGAGCAGGTAAAGGGTCACTCTGAGGCAGAGGAAGGGCCTTCTCTGTTGTGTTCAGTCCTGTTATGTTATGGATGATGGGAGAGAACAAACATGTGAACCGTGTCCTAAAATGCCTATTCATATGCCTGTACTAACACTTCCCACCCCCCACACAGACACCAAGCTTATGTGATATATGGTACACACACACAAACTCACACACACCCACACATATGCACACACACACACACACACACACACACACACACACACACATGTACACAGGCACACATACTTACACACACATAAATATACAAACACACACAAAATATAGATACAGAGAGAAATATATATTCATACAAACAGATACCGGTATACTCAGGCATACACATATATGCCCACATATACACGCATGCACACACCCATACAATTTACACGTGTGCATATATCACCATATAGCTATAGATTTCAATTATTTGTACATATATAGATACAAATTATGTAATTAGAGTTAAAGTAAAAATGAGGAAATTGACTCGAAAGGAACTCATCTTAGCTCTCTTCCCATTTACTTGTTGGGTAGCTACCCAAAGCAACTCGATTCAGAAGGATGAAGCCCAGTGAGTAAGATGTCTACAGGAAATTTGATAACACAGGTGACAAGCAATAGTGGAGAAGCATAAAGACAAAAATGATTCATTATGAAACTTAGGATTCCAAATGGAAAAATAAATGAAAATTCTAGAGGGATCAGGTTTATGGGTCATGCCTAAAACCCCATCTTTCAAAAGGCTGAGGAGGGGAATGCAAGTTTCAGGGGTGCACCATTCTCCTTTGCATTGTGGGTCACAATTCTAACTTAGTTCCATGCCAGTCTGCGTATTATAACAATTAATGCAGAAATAAGGACACTCTCAACAGGGTAAGGAGTAGACTACCACCCTACCCCATACCTAGCCCTCTTCTACAACAGTGTCTATGGAACTGAGAGTGACTTAATATTTTGTAAGGAAAATGCCAAATTTCATTTAAGAGGTTGGCACAGACCAACCAGAACCTGCTGTACATGAAGTGTTTTATGAAATGTCTCTGTCATACAATGAAACTATAAATTATATTATTGGACATTGGAAAAATAAAAGAATATGCTTCTATGTTTAGCTCAAGGGTGGTATTTGTTAGTATTTGTGTAGTATTTAGCATTCAAAATAAACTTACATTTGATAACAAATACTTGCAGTAATAATCAAGTTTTAGACTATGTCAGATTTGCTCCACTTGAAATGTGCTTTTAAGTTATTAAAGCGGCTGTATTTTATTGTTTCACTTACCTTCATAAGACACATTGTCAACCACATGCTTGTTCAGGAAACAAACATTTACAGCAACAACATGTAAGGGATTCAATTTCTCTTTAATCACCTGCAGGTTAACTCCTCTATGATTTGGGGTTTAAGGAATTTTAATGTACTGGCCACATCATCATTATTTAAATTCGCTTTTCTCAAAACACAGAAGCTTTTAGAGAAAATTAATTACATTACAGTAGGAAATTTTATAAACAATAATACAAAATATCTGAATATCAGATGATCTCCAAGCATAATTTGGAGAAGGGCAAATTACCCATGAAAAAATATTCTAAATTTATTTTTTAACTATGAGAGAACATGTATTAAATTCTAAATTTAAACAAACTTGATCTGATTAAGTTATAAAATACAGTAGTCTTTAAATAAATGTGAAATTGTTTTTAGGATTCCCTCTATTTCCTACTTCAATTCTTTTATATTCAAAACAAAAATTTTGTGCAATACATTCTGATCACAGTTTCTTTTCCATATTCAAATCTTAACTCATGTTAATTACGCAGTTTTTATTTATTTACAGTGTTGAATATTTAAAGGGATTAGAAACTTGCCACATCACTTATTGTTAATTTTAAGTAATGTTAAAGTTTAATTAAACACATAATTTAAAAGTATGTTCAAATAGTTACCAAACTTTATATTAGAAAGAATTGTAAGAACATGTGAAAGTCAGGAACCATGCAGTATTATTAACTTTCTTCTTCAAATTGACTTCTTTGCCAAATAAATAAAAAATTATCTATATTAAATACATGATTTTGTAACAAAAATAAAATAGTAAAGGTTAAATATTAATTCTTACCATCAGTGGAAGAAGCATCTATTTGCCCTGAAAAAAAATAAGATTAAACAAATTTTTAGAAAGTTTCAGACTTAAAGCATATGCATAATTATACATTGCACACTCATTTTCAGCACATTTTGCTTCAATGAAACCAAGTTCCCATTTTACTTTTTTCTGATAGTTTTGCTATGCACTGACCAAATGTACTTAACATATTCTACTAAAGGAATAAGGAGGTGGGGGTTTTCTCACAGTTAGGAGTCCCTAGAGTGATGTCTTTAAGGAGAGGTCTAAAGGAGAATATTTGAAGGTTAAATCAACGTTTGTAAGACAGAAAATGAAAACAAGGCAAAGATAAGCTAGAGGCAGGAAAATGCAAAGACTACAGGAAGCTCGAAAGAGAATCGTGATGCTCTAAATAAGAAAGTGACACTGGGAGATTAAGTGGGAGACAAGAGCATCCATGACCAAATCAGGGAGAGGCCCCAAGGATTCTGCATATTTTTGGAAGAGAGAAGGAGGAGTGAAGCAAAGGAGAAGGTCATATAGACGTTTCTACACATTGCTGAGCTGTTGAAGATAGAGTGTAAACATTTTCTTTGAATGGAAAAGAAAAGAAAACTCAAGTGAAAGAGGAGAATTTGATATGGTAATCATTTTATGTGAAATCCTTCAGAAGCTCCTGCTAGGAGAGCTCAGGACTCATGATGCCGGTGACTGGCGCACACAGCTGGACACTGCAGCTTTGGATGTGAAACAGATCCCCAAACAAAAATCCAGGACAGAATGTGGAAGTTAAGTGAGTGACAAGAAGAAGGCCAGCAAAGATGATGAAGTAATTCCCATAAGAGGAAAGATGTGAACAGAGATTGTTTCATAAAAGGTTTCACTGAAACAATGAGGAAATGACATGGATCAGATGGGCCTGTCACAAGCTTACACACGTGGTACACGGAAGCCCTCTGAGTATGATGGGAGCTGGGTCCAGTCCACAGAGAAATGAGAAGCTTCCTCACCCTTCTGACTAAGTGATAGCAGAAACAGTAGGAGGTTATTTTCTAAGAGAAAAAGGGAGGCTGTGAAAAACAAGCAATCTTCAGGAAGTAAAAGAGAATGACTGCCCAGTAGTTAAGGTAGTTTCCTGTCAAGAGATTTTTCTTTTTAAGTAGAATAACTCTGAGAAATTCTTCTCCCCTCAGAAGTACCATTAGAGGTGTGTCCTGGCTTCCCATATACATGTGCCTAAGTGTTTCTACATATGTGTGTCCAGACAAATAATAGATAGACGAAACTACATATGCTTCTTTATGTCTCCTATTCTTCTCTTTACCATACATACTTGCATACTATAGTGCGTTGCTTATCAATGGGCATATGTTTTGAGCCCCCCCATCATGAAGTAATTTTAGCATTATGCTAATATTAAAGAGTATATTTTCACAAATAAAATGACTATAATGTCACTGGATTACAGAATTAAGGACCATCCATGATTGAGATATTGTTATATGCTTATGACTATATTGTTTTGAAAACACATTATTTGAAAGACTGTCCCATTTCTTGTCTAGTCATTTAATTTTACTTCCCCTTAAAAGCAATCCTGTCCTCTGACGCATTCTAATTTTCTTCCAAATTCGCTTCTTAGAATCATGTGGTTTGGAAAAGAGATAATAAGAAGAAACAAAGTATTAATATATCAGAAATTAATAGACCACATATTAAATGAGGTAAAAAATAACTTGTGGTTATTGTGAAGAATATAGTATATCAAAAAGTTTAAAATATTCAAGTTGGTTTGAACATATGAAACCACAACAAGCAGTATCCTATCTTTCTCTTGTGAGATATATGTAAACTTTGCAAAGTCTAAAAATAGTTTGAGACACCCCTTCTCAATATCATCATATGGTTCCTTGGAGCTTCACTCCATTTTATTCACTTAAGTTTAGGAAGTTAATTGTTTTGTTGGTTTGCTGCTAGAAGTGAGAGTCAGCCATGATAAAGGCATGATCCTCACCCTGAAAAGCCAAGAATGTAAAAAGCAAATGCATTTAATAGTCCGCAAAGTCATTTAAATAATATATGAACTCTGTTTAGACTGATAATTAGTAGTTGGCAAGAACTGTATAGCATAATGAAGAAGAGAAGAGTGAGAAGCTGTTGTAGTGGGGTTTGTCTTATCTGTTATGTAATCACTGGAAGGGAAATCCTTGGATGACTTTGAACATGGAGTAAATATGAAAGAGAAGCCAAACCATCTGGTGACAGTTTTCAGACATGAGCTCATGAGTAGACATCGTAGGCCCTGACAAAGAAGTTGAATATTTTTCCTGGAATGGCAGAAACCACATGATCAATGAATATGGAGAACAAAACAAATAATGACTTTGGTCACAGGAGAAAGGAATTTTAGAGTATGTTGTGCTACTCCACCATTCATTTGGGGGACCATTCTGTTTCGTCCTACTAATTTATTAGCTTGGCTGCCATAATGTGCAACACAAAAACAAAGTGTATGATAAAAGACTATAACCTTACAACTTATCACATGTTCATAGTAAAAAGCTAACAATGAATACAGGGTGTGAAGGCTCATTTGTATATGGAGTGGAGTGGTGTATGTGTTCATGTGTGCATAGGGACAAATTTGTGTGGGAATGTGTAGAAGCCAGTAGTTGATGAGGTGCTTTCTTCAATCACTCTCCACCTTGGCTTTGGAGACAGGGTCTCCCACTGAACCTTGTATTCATTGATTCAGCTCTCCAAGAAGCCTGCTGTCTCTGCCTTTCCAGCACTGGGCTCAAAAGTGAATGCCTCTACACCCAACTTGTTTGTTAATTTGTTTAACATGGCTGCTAGGAATCCAGACTCATGTCTTTGTGTTTGTGGGGCAAGCACATTCATGACTGAGTTATCTCCCCAGCCTCTGTGCCTGTGTTTTAAACAAAGGCCTTTAAGAACCAGAGTGTACTGGCTGGAAATGCTTTCAAATAGAGACTGTTCCTTGTGCCACCCTCAAGGGAAGTGTCTCAAAAAAGCTCATTTAATTCAACCTAATCTCCTATTAAAATTATTTTGGTGAAAAATCAGTAACAGACACAAATGGCCAAAAGAGTCACACTAAGCACTTGTGCTATGAATTGCATTCTGAAGCTTGGTCACAGGTTAACATCTATGTTTCTAATCTAGCTGTGGTACAATATTCAGTGTCTCCTAAATCCTTTCATCTCTAGTGTGATAAAATTTACCATCCGTGGAAAACTCATATTTAAAGCTAGCCCATGTTTTCATTTCTTCTCTGTTGGTGAGGACTGTCTCTATAAAGCCTTCTCAAGTGAATAACACACTTTCTTCTACATTCACATATTATAATACAATGGTAAACCTCTCTATTCCAAAACCCTTAGTAAAATACTACCACTTACCTCTTGTTTATAAACTATCACACACACACACACACACACACACACACACACACACACACACACACACACACACACACACACACACTCATTCATCCCTTAACTTTATTTAAAAGGAATTTCAGTATTTAAGAACTTCTGTTTGGAGTCAATATAAGCCCAGAATTGCTTGTTTTGGTCACAAAATCCTTCCAAGCAGATTTTAAGCAAGAGTAGCACTCCTATTCAATATGATACACAGAATCAAAACAATTAATTTGTCAAAAAATCTTTTAGAATAAGGTTTTTTTTAATAAAAAACCACTCCTAAGAATAAACCTAATCACTTTAAGAAACTATGAATTCAGTATACATTCAAAGTATGCATGAACATTTCCATGTATTCCCTTGTCAAAAGAAAAATCAAACAAACAAAAAAAAAACCCACTACAGCTCTTACAGTTGGAGTGCAATAAAGTTACCCTACAGAAATAGCCTAGTTATGAAGCCCCTATCTGAAAGGCCATACATCCTCATGCATGGTTCATTTCAGAGCTTTTTCATATAGTAACCAAATAGGTCACAAAGTAAAAGATTTCACATAAATATTCATAGAAGCTAAAGCTGTGCTACCACATATCTACAACAGGTTGAGATATTTCTATCACATTTCTGGAATTCTTTCCAGATTGCCTAGACAATTGTGTATTTTATTTCCTGTGTTCATGTTATCAGATTACCATAAAAATCATAAGTAGCTACAAAACCTTCCAGAATCCTTATTGTTACACAGGAAGACTTGAAATGATTGGGTTTGTAAGGTATTTAGCTAGTATGTGGCCTTATCATTTGACTGATTACAGGGTCACAGATTAACCACCTAGGCCACACAGAGCAAATGAGTCTAGGTACCATTCTGATGTGTTCCCTGATAGACAGCACTCTTGGCCCTAGCCTCTGGAACTTGAAAGAAGCCATCTATCATCAATAAAGCTGCATCGTGTCTTTTGACCACTGCAACTAGGATAATGTGTTAGGAAAATATATATGTGTGTGTGTGTGTGTGTGTGTGTGTGTGTGTGTGTGTGTGTGTGTGAACAGAATTTGGGAGAAATAAAAATAACTGAAGAAAACTGCAGTGTAAATTAAATCAGCACATGTACTAGGAGGTGACAGTAAAGAGAAATAAATCACTTTTCTAAGGCTACGAGTTTCATAATTTTTGTTTTAAATTCTATAAACACACTGAGTGTGTTACACAATATTACACACATATGATAAAAAGCCAGCACTCTGCTCAGTGTTTTTATGTGTTACAGAATGCTTCAGTGTTCTGCTTACACAATTTTCATGCATTTTTCCTTTAGTAATATTTCAGTAGATGGCACCAGAGCACCAGAAATCGGTAAATCATCCACCTGGTGAGTATGTCCCCCATTATAATCCTGTTGTGAAATCTCAGTGGAACTGACTAGATACTTTAAACACGTGAGCATGGAGATAAGAGCGCCCTTGATCTTCAAAGCTGTGTTGTTCTAACACATGTATTGTTAACTGAATTTACCTTTCCCAATATGTTTCTTTTACAGCTCGAAATGTTTAAATGATTGCAAATCAAAGTTACCTTGAAGTCACACCCCTAAGTCCGCCATCAGAGATTTAAGAAAAGTAGGAATGAATTTGAGTGGAAATGGCATTTCAAAGGATGCACTTGGGCTTTAAATACCACCCATTCCACCATGAATCTCCTTTCCAAAACAAAAAAAGAAAGAAGGAGAGCCCCAAGGAATACCATTTGTGAGGGGATTTAAGCCTGCCTACATTGCAAGGACGGTGAAGCAGAATAGATGAAATAAATACTTACTCTGAGTATTAGTCTAAAAGAAATTGGAGATTTTGAAGATTTGGAATGCATATATGCATAACTTTCTTCCATGGTTACAAAGGCTATACAAAAGTAGAACCAGTAGATAAGCACAAAAGCAGAGAGGCAGCTAGGGCAGCTTGGATGTTTCCTCTTCTTAGTATGGCACAACAATACCAATGGACATAAATAAAAAATAAACGTTTATATCTACTCTACAAATTAGGTATATGATCCAGTCTGTGATAATGACCAAGTTAGGATCAAGAATACATAAACTGTGTATTTATACATGATAGCATGAGCACGTAATCCCTGTTACTCCAGAGGCTACGGCAAGAATCACAATTCCAAAGCCAGGCTAGGCTGCAGACTGAATCCAAGACCAGCCTGGGAAACTTGGTGAGGTTGAGTCTCAGAAAAAAAAGTTAAGTAAAAATAAATAAACAAGGTGAGAGTTCTGGGACTATTACTCAGTGGCAAGCATTGCCTAGCATGGGAGAAACCCCAGGTTCCATCTCCAGTACCAAATAATTCACTGTATTAGAGAATTACAGGAAGTAGCCTATACTGCTGCCATCTATTCCTTAATAAGTGAACACTGACAATGAATAACTCACTGAAATCCTGTTACAATCAGACACTGCCACATCACCATACCAACAGTTGTTTACAATTTTATCATCTCAACAGGCCCTGAAAGTCAGCAATTCTTTCATGTATTTTATAGGGAATTAAGCAGAGAACAAAAGTGGCTTGCTCACAGTCACATGATGGCATAATAGATTTG